GTGTGTGTGTGTGTGTGTGTGTGTGTGTGTGTGTGTGTGTGTGTGTACGGGGCCTGCACACCTTGTCTACAGGATGAGGGGAGGGGGAGTGAGGTATCTGGAGTCAGAGTGTCAAGGTTTGAATAGCTCGGGCCTCAATGCTGAGTGGCCATGTGATCCTCGGCAAGTCCCCCCACTTCCCTGAGCCTTGGTTTCCTTGTCTGTGCAGCTATTGTGAGGACTGACCCAGCTAAAAGGGGAGGCCCGTGTGCAGTCCCCAGTGCATGGGAAGTGCCACACAGACGGTAACCGCTGTCCCTGTCTGCCTGCAAGGTCCATGTGCAGGCACCCGGTGTGGAGAGCCCGGGTTGGGGACGCATGGCAGTGTGACAGGCAGAGTGGCAGAGGGTCCTGGCTGGACCTGCGAGCCCCAATCCTGGCTCTGTTACTGAGTGGCCCTGGGCATGCTACCCTCAGCGCCTTAGTTTCCTCGTTTGTAAACCGGGAAGAGCAATGGCACTTACTTTCCAGGATTATTGAAAGGTAGTGTGGCCCCCGGATTATCAGCACCACCCAGGGCCTTGGAAATGCACTCTTGTGGGCCCCACCCATACCTAAAGAATCAGAAACTCCTGTGCTGAGGAATGCTCCGGGTGATTCCAACTTGGGACCCACCATTGCTCAGGACAAGCACTTGAGAAGGAAGCTGCCACTTGGTGTCGTCTGCTATTTGTGCCCAGAATTTGCCACTGAAGTTGGGTTTGGGAGCAACTTCCACCTCTGTTCAGCTTCTGCTTTTCTGCCTCAAAACCTGCCTTTACCAGCGCTGCACTTGGGTGGCCTCAAGAATCGATCGACCACATCAATAAATATCTGAGATTCCTGGAACTAGTTGCCCAGAGACAGGAATGCAAAGGGTTATTATTAGAACTTTGTCTTTCTGTTCCCTCCCTCAATCTGGGACCCTAAAGGACACAGTAAATATCACCCACCTCCAGAAGGGCAGATGGCGCTGGAGATGGGGGCAGTGCCTGCGTCTCGAACCCCCAGTGCCAGCTACACTAAGCCCCCCACCCCCACAGGCCTCCAGCTTTAGCCTGCAGACCGCCCCCAACGCACCGCACTCCCTCAGCATCGCGTCCCAGAGCTGGACACATGTTCGTCCGCTCAATCGCTCAGTCATTCATTCGACAAACTTCTCTTGTTCCCCTACTATGTGCCAGGCCCTTTTCTAGGTGCTGGGTTCAGAACTGAACAAAACAAAGTTCCCGCTTTCGTGGGGCTGACATGCGAGTGAGGGAGACAGAAGCAAGCACTGAATTAGTGGCTAAGTCACCTTATGGTAGAAGCTCATTAGGCTCCGAATGGACGAAGCAGGCATGTGCTTGGGACCTAGACAGACCCGAACTCAGATCCTGGCCTTGTCATTTCCTAGGCGGGAAGTTTAGGCAAACTCAGCCTCTGTGAGCCTCAGTGTCTTCATCTATAAATGGGGTAGTAATAGCATCCACCTCAAAGACAGCTGGGAAGACTCAATGAGTAAGATGCTAAGCACTGTGCCCGGAGCACAGTGAGTGCTCCATGAAGCTAAACGTTGTTGTTACCATTGTCCAAGTGGCACAGCCGAGCCCAAGAGCCGAGCTGGGCCTCTTCTAGAGGTTTGTTCACTGGGACACCCACGGAGTCCCCAGAGCTGTAAGGGATCCCAGTGATTGGCCGGTGATTTGACTCCTGATTTTAGCAAACAGGCACGTGAAGGTCAGAGGGATTCTGTGACTCGACCCAGGTCCCACCAGGAGTTGAAAGCATCCAGCAGGTGGAAGGGCTCAGACCCTTCAGCCCTTAGAGGGAGCGCGCAGCCAAGCAGGGTGCCTGAAATAGAACCGCCTGGGCCCACAGTGGCTCTGCCTCCCGCCTCGCTGCCTGCTGGGCATCACCGCACCCATCCCTCTCATCACTCTCCGAAAAAAGCACTGTTTGGGGGTGTCAGTGGGGAGGGGGAGGCAGACACATCTTTTCACCACAAAAGGGGGGCCCCACTGCCTCAGGGTGATCTGCTCTCACTGCTCATTTCATCTCTTGCCCCCCACCCTGCTGTGTTTTGCCCTGACCCCCACACCTTCACCACGTTGGCCTGAGCCTGCACTGTGCTTGCAGTCAGCCCTGGGTTTGAATCCACTGTCACCTTGGGCACTGGAGCTGCTTTCTGTATCTACACTTGTCCTCTGTCATCTCAAGGTCAAATGAGGTGACATTTGTACAGACCCCAGCAAGGGGCTCGGTGCACATTACATACCCTGGTAACACTTCTGTGGGCAAATCCCACCCAGGATATATCAGCCACCTTGCCTCTTTCTAAACAGGCCCCAGACTCCCCTTCCTTGGTGCCTTTGCCGGCGCCAACACCTTGCCTGGACCTCCCTCTCCTGCCCTCCCAGCCTGCGGCATCCCTGCCCACAGCCCCCAGACCTGCCCAGGTCTCTCCCTCTCCACAGAGCTGTCTGCACCTCCCAGCCCCTGCCGGCTGTTACCGTTCGTTTGTGTGTATACACAGAGCTGTAAGCAACGTGCAAATACAACAGAAGCAGTATCTCAGTGCCGTTTGTTGAGCACTTACTATGTGCTGGGCACTGCACTCAGCACTCCATACACCATGTCATGGACGCCTCACAATCCCAGCGAGGTATGTATTCTCGTGCCCCATTTATAGATGAAGAAACTGGGGCTCAGGGCTGCTGAGCCACTGCTCAGGGGCACCCTGCCAGGAGATGGGGCCTCTGGGAGTTGGGCCTAATTCAACTTTACCTCCCCCACTGTCCGGCACAGGGTTGCTACCCAGGCACCATTTGTTGGAAGAGTTTGGTAAGCTTTTTAAGATCGCAGGGAGGGAGGGAGGGAATCAAGGAAGCAGGCCAGGATCTGGCCTGGTTTTTCTTCATCATTTAGGTTGTTGGTGAGCAGCCAGCCATGAAGACCTGCCTAGGGCCTCTGAGCTGTGGCACATGGGCTGCAAATAAAAATTAAAGTGGAAGGCAGGTCTGGAGGCCTGGGGTGGGTCAGGGCAGGCTCCGGGGGAACTATCTGATAAGTGGTGTGGTGGATGGGGGTGCGGGAGGGAGATGGGCCACTTACTGGAGTCATGGGGACCAGCCACCGATTTCTCTCCAGCAGTTTCCATTCCAGCTTCTTTAAACCCCCTCCCTCCTTCCCAGCCACAGAAAGGGCAGCTGTCATCACCAGGCTAGGCAATCGCCGCAGCTGACCTTGCTGGAGGTTCTCTATTTTTGCTTCTGACATAAAACTTTAATAAACTACACCCACGTTCAGAAGCAATTTCTGTCTATAGCCACTTAATTTTCACACTGAGCCCGAGCGGGTCATAGGATAAAACTGTGCGCCCTATTTGTCTGGCAAATGGAACCTAAGTGTGGCCAAGGTCACGGCTGGTGAAGGGCAGAGGGGAAGCAGAGCGTGGGGCCTGGATGTCACGCTCGGGCAACAGATGCTTAAGTGCCTGCTCTGGGTCAGGTGCGGGCTAGATACTGAGGGTAAAACGGTGGATACAGTTAACAAGCGCGTTACGGGGCTTTCTCTGTGCCCGGCCCTATCCCAGACACTTCACACACTGACACATCTAATCCTCAGGACAAGCCTACGAGACCAGAACTATCATCACCCTCAGTGCAGAGATGGGAACACCGAGGCCCCGAGTCACACAGCTGGAAAGCGGCAGAGCTGGGATCTGACCCCAGACAGCCTGGACCTAGAGGCCTCCTCGAGGTTTTCACTTAGCCCGGCGGAAAAGACAATCGCAGGAGCAGGTGTCGCATAGCGCGCTAAAGGCCTGGTTCGAAATCCCTGCCCCACCGCTTATGTCCTGGCCCCTTGAACAGGCTGAGGCACCTCGAGCTCAGTTTGCCCCCCTGCAAAACTGAGATGACCCCAAGGACGCCGAGATGCTGAGGAAGAGCAGGGCGCAGGGAGCTCTGGGGAGTGGGCTCCATCTGAATGGAGGGTGCGAGGTGCTGGACCACCAGCCCCTCACCTGCTCCGAGCGCCAAGCTTGGAAAGCGGGCTATCCCGTCCCCTAATTCCCAGCCAGCCCCTGGCGGGCTGTTTTTCCTGGCTCGCCTACAATGCTGGAATGGTCTGTTGGGGTGAAGCCAAGACGGGTTTGAGACCTGATGTTACAGGATACCCCGACAAGATGTTGAGGAGGGCAGGCGATAAGGAATTTCCATCCCTGGACTCTGAGAACGTGAGAGCCGGCAGGGTCCTTGGGGATCAGCTGGCCTCGTCTCCTCGGGTTACAGACCGGAGACTGAGGCCCAGAGAGGGAGAGCGAATCCCGAAGGTCACGCAGCCACTGTGGACAGAGCCGGGTCAAAACCCAGGGGAAAGTGCCGGCAAAGTTCGGGGAAATTTCCCAAATTCTCCTGGATTCCTTCCCTACCTTGTGGGGAATCTGCCCCTTCGGCATTGTTCAAATTTAGAAAAAATACCCAGTGTTACTTTGCCTGGCTGTGCATGACAGAACCCTCAGGCCGCACAGATTGCCTTTTTCCTTCGCTCTTGGGAGCTGCGCGACTCTCTTCTCCCTTTCATGTGACAGACATAGCTCTAGGCTTTTAGCATCCAGACATCCCAAGATCCTGATGTGCTCGGGCCCCAGGACGTGGCCACTCACCATCGACCCCAATCTTGCCGTCCCCATCCTTGTCGCCAGCGGCCAGCAGTGTCTTGGTTTCTGTAGCAGACAGGTCCCTGGCATCTGCAGAGAAGCCCTTCAGGATGGATCTGGGAAGAAAAGCCAGGGAGGGAGTCAGGTCAAGGTCACCTTGCGGGAACTCTGTAGGGATGGTGGGCTGGCATCTGCTCAGGGGAAGTGGGCAGCTGGGCCAGGCGGCTGCGCTGGGCAGGGCGGCCCGGCTATGGCGGCCCTTCCCGGCGGGTGCGGGAAGGGCAGGCTGTCCTCAGTGGTGGCTGACCTCACTTCAGGCAGGGCACCTGCACTTGTTTATTTATTCAGCCAACACAACTAACACAAAAGTATCCTCTCTGTGCCGGGGCCATGCTGGAAACGGGGCACAGAGATGATCCCAGGAAACCGCCTGAAAAGACGCGGAGGGGTTCCGGTGCTCTGAGAGAGCGCACAGTGTGGTGGACGCGGTGAGGTGACGGATGCGGTGATGGGAAGCGGAGGGGGTGTCGGAGGAGGCAGCCATCACACCTGGATGAGGGGACGAGCCTGGAGGACAGGTGGCAGTCAGCCTGCGTGCGTGTGTGCGTGTGTGTGTGTGTGTGTGTCTGCACGCGCGCACTGGGCATGGGTGGACAGACAGAGGGCATCCTTGTGAGATGGTTGGGGGCAAGACTGGATGGATGGGGACACCCTCAGTTGAAAGGCTCCTCTCTACCCCACCACCCTTCTATTCCTGACAAAATTCAAGGTGGCCTTGGCCAGAAGGTGACATAGGACACAGCTGGGTCGGCAGACAGGGGCCAGGTGGCCAAGAGGGTTATGGTGAAAGGTTCCTTGGCTGGTGCCACTTTGCATTTTCCTTGTCATGACCTTCTCCTTCTTTGCTTTGCTCCCTGGACTCCTGACCCCCAAAGCTGGTTCTGCAACCCCAACTTACCCAGAAGCTGCTCCAGCCGCCTGGGACAGAGCGTGGGGGTGACAGGATGGCGGAAAGCGCCTCTTAGACAGACAAAAATCAATGGAACACTCAGGCTGCTGCTGTCTGTCTTGCCCGCGGTGTTAGGCAGGGAAAATGGCCTCTTGGATTGTGTTAAATTATTAAGTAGCATCATTGCATTAGCAATATTAAGTAGCTATAATTTAACCTCGTTAGGCGACGCTTTTTTGCCTCCCTGGGGCAACGGTGGTCAGGCAGGTGCAGACCTGGCGGGAATTGGGAGGCGAGAGTCCCAACCCCCTCCCTCTCCCGAGCCTCAGGCCGCAGCCCTGCCGGCCTCAGTTTACCCCAGCTCATCCTCCTCGATGAAGCCACTCTTGTCCTTGTCCAGGATGTGGAAGACCTTCCTCACGTCATCCGCGCTCTTCTTCTTGAGCCCCACCATCTGGAAGAACTTTTTGTGGTCGAAGGAGTCGGCAGCTGCGGGGGTGGAGGGAAGCGGTTGAAATGCAGACGGACAAGGGGCAGCAGGGAAGGGGGAGGGCAGGTCACAGAATTTGTCCACGGACTCCCCTGTGCCAGCCCTGGGGGACCAGGGGATATGCTTCCATGGGACTCCCCTGTGCCAGCCCTGGGGGACCAGGGGGTACACCTCCATGGGAGGGCTGAGGGGTGCCAGGCCAGAGAGGGTCTTTGCCCAAGGTCACGTAGCTAGAGGTGGAAGAGGGGAGTTGTGCCCAGATCTCCTGGCTCCCCAGCCTGCCCCAGGCTCTGGGCCCTCAGCTGGGGAGGGGAGGCCTCTGAGGGCAGAGGGGTGGCCTGGCCGGGAAGCCTTGTGGGTGATGCTGAGCGGAGCGGGAGGGGGAAATGGAGCACATGTGAACCGGTGTGTGCATTTTGGGGATGGGGAGTGGGCAAAGGGTGGGGGAAGAGGGAACCTTTTCCTTGGCCACAGATCGTGGTGCCAGAAAACCAACACAGAGGACAAATTTCTCTCAAGGTTACAAGGTGGGAGGAGGAAGGGGAGGGCCCAGAAAGCCTGGCTTTGCTGCAGAAATTGATTCTGGTGGGAACTGGGGGTGTTAGAAGGCCCCCCAGGAATTCCCAGTTCAGTTTCTTGTGAGAGGGAGCCAGGTGGGTGGAGGAGAAGTGGGTGGGTTATCCCAGCACCCTGGGAGGGTGGCTTTCCCCAGCTTCTCCATGCCCAGGGGAGGAGGCACCCAGCAGCAAGGAAATGGGGTCCCCTTCCCAATTTTCTATGTCCAGAGCTTCTTTTTAAGGACACCCGGGAGAGGGCACAGTGGTAGATGGAGTAACTTATGTAGGGGGGGCAGGGGGTCCCCTTGAAAGTCATGTTCTCCCCCCTTCACCCAGCGCTGACACTAGGGTGGGGGACCAAGACCCAGGTCTAACCCCACTGGTGCCTGCTAGGTGACCTTGGGCGAGTTTCTGACTCTCTCCCAGTCTCAGTTTCTCCCATCTGGGTGATGGGAGGGAGGAAGGGAGGCGGCTAAAAGCACTCAGGTCCCGGGCTGCTCAGAAAGGAGAGGCTGCCGCTCCCCTCCCTGGGCAGCGAGGGCTGGAAGTTGCAGCCCAGGGACACCCAGGGGTTGGGCAGAGCAGAGCGGAGCACCAGCTTTGGGAAGGTCACCACCCGCTCCGGTCTTTGGAAAGAGGCTCCGAGCCAGGGGCTGGGGGTTTGGACAGTGGTGGGGCCAGCCCTGCCCCGCTGGGCATGAAGAGCCCTGCACACAGTGGGGGTCTCGGTCAGGGTGGCAGAGAAGGCGTGCATGCCCGCAGCCCCTCCACGTGCTAAAGGGGAGGTCCCGAGCGCCCGCCAGGACCCTGGTCCCTTCCTTGGTCCCGGACCCCAGCCCTCCCAGCCTTTGGCACCCACAAGTTTTCGTTTGCTCGGGCAGGGTGCACGGCCTCCCCACCCGATCCAAGTCCCGCCCGGACAAGTTTGGAAAACGAGGACCCCCACTCTCCGCCCCTGAGGGGTGCAGGG